ATTCACTATAGCTCTATAGCGAAGTTGAAGTTCAGGACATAAAATTCGTTATATCAAGGGTTGACTGTATATTTATAAATATTTACTTTTTATTTTTAAAATTAATAAATTAATATTTTTATAATATTAAACTTTTATAAAAATAAAAATAAATTAATATTAAATTTAATTATACATTTTAATTTAAAAATATAAATAATTATTTACTAATTTATTTTATAATTTATAATTAATAATTAATAATAAATAAATTCTTTATAATAGAAAGGAAGAAAACTCTAAAAAAAATTTTTTTGAATTAATATTAAATCAGAATTTATTTTACTAAAAAATTTATATTAGTTTATAAAGTAAAAATTTTAATTTTTTTTAATTTTTTCCTTTCTTTTCTTTTTATTACAAAACTTCTAATATAAATATAAATAATTAATTAAAATTTATATTATTATTAATAATAAAATTTAATAATAATATTATTATTAATAAAGATTAAAAGGTTGCAACTTAAATTATAATTGATTACAACTTCTTGTAAAATTTATTTTAATATAAAAATTCATAAATAATTACAACTAATTAAATTAATTGCAATTCTATCTTTAATTATTTTTATTATAAATTTATTATTTTAAATTAAAAATAAATAAAAAATAATATACTATTATTATTATATGAAAGCTTTGCAGTAAAAAGGAAGAAAACTCTAAAAAAAATTAAAATTTTACTTCAGATTTAACATTAATACAAAAAAAATTTTTTTTAGAGTTTTCTTCCTTTCTATTGCAAAACTCCTATATTATCTATTAAATTGTTTAATAAGCAAATTTACATACAAATTCTTTATATTCTTTATATTCTAAAAAATAATAATAAATTTATTTTTTATTAAAATAATAATAATAATTTTTATTTAAAATATTTACCTTTAAAGATATTTTCTTAATACATTTATATATAATCAATTTATTATTATTTTTACTAGTTTTATAAATAAATTTGGTTAATAATTTTACTTATTAATTTAAAGTCAATTTTTATAATTTATTTTATTTAAAATCAAAAATTTTAAATTTTAATAAGTATTTTACTAAAATTTAATATTTTTATATATTTTAAAATTTCTTTATAAAGTATTTAATATGATTTTAAAAATTTAGATATTATTAAAGTTAAAAATAAATTTAAATCAAATTTTTATTATTTAATGAATAATATATTATATATAAATAAATTTATATTATTTAATAAATGTATTATATAATAATTATTTAAATATTATAATTTATATTTAATATAAAATACTTAACTTTTTAAATAATATTAAATTATATTATTAATTAATTAAACTAACAATTTTTTATATTATAAATTATTTTATATTTTTATTAAATTAAATTTTAATTTTTAAGAAATATTTATAGTTTATATTAAAAATATTAAATATTAAATATTAAAATATTATATAAATTATATTTTTTATTTTTAAAATGATAAAAGTTCTTATTGATTGAAGCATAACAAAGGATCTTTTACTACTTTATATTTGTAATGCAATAACATGTCATTTTGTCTATCTGATTGACTAATAATATTTTGTTTATGGTAATCTTTTGTATTACATTTTATAGTTTTACATGATTTTTAATATATAATAATAATAAATTGTATATGCTATATTATACTGTTTATTAACATTTATTTAGCAATTGGAGAGCATTATAATTTAAAGTTTAAAATTTTTATTATGGTGTTAAATTATACTTTAGACTTTGAATAGATCTCATTTTTTGTTTATAATTATAAATCAATATATATATGAAATTTTAATTAATATATATATTTAATTTATTATAAATTATTATTTAATTAGTTTTATTTCTAATAATTATATTATATATTTATATATACAGTATAATTTTTTAACTTTATTTTAAAATATATATATTTAAATATTTAAATAGTAAGAGTAATTAATATATAATCTAAATTTTTCATAATATATATAAAAAATAGAAATAATAAATTTTAATTTATATAAAAAATACTTGTTAAAATTTATAAATTTTGATTCTAATTTAATATATAAAAATTATTTATTAATGTTAATGTTAATAATTTTAATATATTTAAAATTAACTTTAATTAAAAATAAAAATAAACTCAAAATAAAAACTTTTAAAAAATAAGAAAATTATAAAAAAAATTATTAATAAATTTTATTAAGAGAATAAAATAATTTATTAAATTATAATAATTAACAAATAAATTAAAAAAAAATTGATTATTATATAATGAAACAAATTTTTATATCATATAATAATTATGTATAACAAAAATCATTTTAACTTTATAATAATAAAAATTATTAAAAAATTATAATTAATATTTCCAGCAGGTTTAGATTTACATTTATAAAAAAGTTTAGAAGATATTTAATATATTAAAAATAAATTGGCAATTGTTCATTTTTTTATATAAGGTTTTAAGATTTATATTCTAAATTATGATTGGATCATGTGACGAGTAATTTATATTGATTAATTATATTTTTCATTATTATTTTACAGGATTCTGTTCTTCTTAAAGATAATATACATTCAATTTAAATCTGATAAATACAAAAAAAAAAAATTGTTAAAATATTGCGTCTTTGCATTCTTTAAAACAATACTTATATATAGCTTTATATCAGAAATTCTTGAAATTGATTGTCAATCATTTTCCGACTTTTGAGGAGCCCTCACCAAGCGATTGAGAGGGGGATTGCCGTTGATTATTGAGTGTTTGTGATGGTGGATTATGTGCATAACGATTTCTGCTTTGACGTCTTTGGGGGCCCATAACGGTATCTCTGATAATATCGAATCGGGTAACTAAAAATTTTTATGATGCAAAATTTTAGAAGGTTAAGAAATTTAAAAAAAAATTAGGTCCAGAGAAATAGTCACTTGAAGAAAATGTTTCAAAATCAAACTTACTAGGTCTTAACCAAAATTGTGTTTGAAATTCATTGAAATATAATTCACCACTCCTGCTTCTCTTTCCTCTACTACTTCCGGCAATGTACAAACACATTAACTAGCAATAAAGGTTAAACTAAATTTCCTTGGAAATAACCTTGGCAAGTGATGAATGACAAGTTATCTATTTACTTACGTTATAATTACTAACAAGAGTATTAAATTTTCTACTACATTGATAACCATCGAAGTTTGAACTGAAACGTTCGTTAATCTTCTTCGCGACGCTTTCCCAAAAATCGACTCTGCTGCATCCGGCAATATCATGATATTCTGTATTCCTGTCTTTTCTTTCGTTAATTAGATAACGTGTTTGCTCGTTGGTCCATTCAAAAGCCATTTCTTATCTTTTTTTTTATTATTAAGGATAGAATGAGAGTTTTGCGTAAAAATAAAATCCTCAAAAGATTTGTACTTATAATAAAATCATTGGAATGACACATATGAAAATAATTTAACTATATCCGTGAAACAATACAACAATACATCTTGACTTTACTGCTCAAAAAAAATTATCCCGTGACGTTAAATGATTCATTATTCAATTTCAATTATTCAATTAGTCATTTAGTTACGAATAATATATTATAAAGTATTGGAAACTTTTTCGAAGTTGAATTAGCAATAATTCATCAGAGTAGATCATATTCCTGTTTGTAATTCTCTTTTTTGACGCAAAGAAAGAGAGAATAAGTAGCTATACACAACGAGTCGAGTTTGCCATATGCTGAGCTCTCTTGGAGGCATCCTCGGAAGCACGTGTTAATTCAAGAATAATGGCTTTTCTAAACATATTTTGACGATGGTAATAGATTTCACGCCTAATGTAAGCAGAAGTAGACACAATAGGGATGCGGTCGGGTTGACTTAAGAGGAGAAATATCAAAATATGCTATTACTACGGCGGTGGGAAATTTCATCAAACTTTTGCTTTCAAAAGATTCAACCTGTTGATAACGAACTTCTATTTAACATGTGCAAATTCTGTCATAATCCCGGATTGTTGTCTGGTTAGATAATATCCATTACATTTTAAAACAACCTGATTATTTATAAGTTGTTCCATAGTTAATTTAATCCTTAAATTGCATCATTTGATCATATGGTTTACCAATCATTTTATTTTACGAAGAACGAAGGAGAAAAAATATAAAAAATATCTAATGTGACGAATATGGTATGAATTAATAAAATTTTTTGACATTAACTATAACAAACTATTTATTTGAAACAATAATTCACTCTCATTTGTTCCTTCTTTTTTAATAAAAAGTTGCAGTGCAACATTTCTTTTTCTATTAAATTGTTTCTTTGTGCTTTATCTTTTAATAAAGGGTTCACTGTTAGCTTTGTTTATCATTTTCTAATTCTACTATCACAAAAATGTCATTAACTAACTTATAAGTTGGCGTGATAACTGGAAAGAATCAAGAAATGCGTTATATATGGTCCGGTCTTATTTAACTTGTGGAAGAAAATCATCTCATGAGAAAATCACATCAAGAAATGGGTCATTTGCTATTAAAATCAAGCTACGAGACATATGACCCAAACATGATTTTTATTCCAAATATTGGCGTTACATTGTGATTGGTCTGTCAAATAATATCAAGCTTGCCAATCAACCCAAATTTCTACAATTATTATTCCTTCCTAATTTGGATATTGATTAAATTCAAAGTGGTCGATTGTTGATATTAACAATCCTGATACTAACAATCCTCTATCTAAGTATTATTTATTCATTGAAGAATCTCATTGACATTCCATGACTATTCATCTCGTCTCAAAGTTCCGGGTTTTCCGATGCCTCCGACCAAAACATCCACTGAATGATTTTTTTAGACAATAACAAGATGATGTCGATCCGTTGTTTCAGGTTTGATTTTTGTTTCATAAATAAAGGAAAATCACTTACATAAGAAGAAAGTTCGATCCGATCATTACTGAAACTGCATAACGCATACATTTTTTTTCCTCTTGGTTTAATATTTATATGATTAAAATCTTTTTCAATAAGATTTGATTGAGTGTTTTAGAAAAATCTTACTAACTCAAAAAAAAAAAATTTCAACCTTTCCCCTTTAAATAATATATTTTACTTTTTTACACATTTGAAATTTTATTCGACATAAAATTCAAAAAAAAATTAATTATCATAATAAATTCCTTTTGATACTTACTATATTTCTCATTTTATTTTACTTTAATTTTATTTTATTTTGTAAATTTTTTTTTTAAATGCTCAGGATTATTATTTTTTGTATTATATGATGTCATTACTCCCTTATTTGGTATTATGCTTGGCAATAGTATCGGTCAGATCATTTACACCAGAGGCAAGATATGCACATTCAAGTTCATTAGTCGGAAATAAATTATACTTCTTCGGAGGATTAGGAGATGGATCCGGTATATCGACACAAGCATTTTACTTGGATTTATCGACATCATTTAGCCTAAGTAACTTATCATGGGTGGATGTCACTTCAATGCCGGTCGGGGTATCATTCACGCAATCGTTCGTAGGTGGAATGTCAAATGTTAGCGTGTTTCTCTTTGGAGGCTCAAGAACGAATTCGGATTCTTCATTAAATCTCGATAATAAACTTTACTCATTTAACACGCAAACTCAAGCATGGTTTGAACCAATCGTTAAAGGGGTGGGTCCGATGCAAAGAAGGCAGGAACAAGTTTCTGTTGACGTGAATGGTAAAGCTTATTCATTTGGTGGTGTGATTGATGAAATGACTGGAAATATTGAGACAAACTTGTTGCAAGATATGAATTCATTTGATACGATCAATTCGGAATGGTCATTGAACATTTCTTTAAACGATGTGGCCTTACCATTCCCACGTAGTGATTATACTTCAACGATATTAAGTAATGGTGTAATAGTTTTTATTGGAGGATGGGAGCAAACCACTTCGGATAAGGGTCTATTCGTTTATGTTAGCATGAAAAATTTGGCATTGTTTAATACTAATACCGCCACTTGGTCATCTACGGTAGCTCAAGGGGATGTAATTGATGAAAGGAGGGCTCATCAAGCGGTATTGACTCGAGACGAAAACATTATAATCTATGGAGGTGTGAAGGATTTCTGGGCCCCATCCATGCCCGAATTGGCAGTATTAGAAACAAGGGATGGAAAATTTCGTTGGTTCGTACCACAAATCACGGCAAAGAATCGTCCACCATCCCTTGTATATTTTACTACAAATATCTTTGAGGATTACATGTTTATATCATTTGGTAACATAAGCAATCCGGTGACAAGTCCGGTGAACACATCATCGACAATATACTTGATGGATACGAGAAATTTCACGTGGGTAGATACGTTTGAAGCAAAGACGTTAGATATGAATCCAACAACGCTCACCAAATCTCAAACGTCAATCATAATTGGATTATCGGCATCAGGTGCGGGTTTGATCATACTTATTTCGGCTGTTACATGTTACCTTAGATGGAAAAAGAGGAAGAGCCTTTCAACGAAAAAGGATATCATCGTAACTCCCGGTACGGACCATTTCACGGTTCAAACCACAAGGCAAATTACACTTAATTCTCCTAATTCTACTTCACCTTATTCACGAACCCGATCACCTACTGTTCCTTCTTCACCTACTTCGCCTACTTCGCCTACTTCACCTTACAGTTCACCGGTTCAATATTCACCCACAAATTCCGGTAATTTTAGTCAAGTTAGTTCATCCATCGGCGGAAATGGATGGGAAAACGGTTATTATCCACAAACTCATTTTGCAGCTGGTCAGCAATATTATCAACCTTATGTTGAAAATTTTCAGAATTATACCCCACCATCTCCATTATTACCCCCAATGCAGTCACAACAATATTACAATTCACCTAATCAACCTCAGATCGTACAGAATGTCGTATTACCCGGTGTAATACCGCAATATGGTTACATACCTCAACAAGTTGTTTATCAATATCAAGATCCCCCATTTCCATATCAAGAATATGATCAACCATCACGTCCCGAAACTCCATCTCCGTTACAATACCAAGGGAATGATCATCTTTATCAAAACCCTTCAAGATTATCACCTACCTCTCGAACCGCACCCAATTCAAACAAAAATTTTACCCCTCCGAACACTTCCGTTGTAACTCCTACGATTACTATTAGTAGGCCCATGAGTTTGATTGATAAAATTAGAAAAATTGGTAGTGATGACGGCAGTAACGCTAGCAGAAGAAACAGTATAATTTCGAGAATAAGAAGAATGGGTAATGAAGATAGCAGCAGCACTGGTAACAGCAGAAGAAATACGAGTAATACTTCTTATACTGAAAGTACTGAAGCTAGTAGGATGGAGAAAATAAGTAGTATTGGAAATGAAGATAACAACGATAGTGCTAGCGCCAGCAAAAGATATACGAGCAATACTGTTAATACTGTTAATACTGTTACCACGAACGCTACTAGTCATAGTAATAACGTTAATGAATTAATTGGATTTTATATTAATAATGGGGATGATGATGATAATGGTGATAATGATAATGATAATGAGACGATTAAGGGAGAAAGGAGCAACTAACCGGAAAAGGTTTTAAATTTGGTAATTAATATAATTAATGGAATTTGACATGTAAATAACTGTGTGTGTTTTTTTTTGTATTTGTAAAAAAAAATTTATAACATTAATTATATAAAATTACATTAGTTAAAATGTAAAAAAAAAGACGCGCGTATTGATAGACAAAATCTCTTACTTTTTTTGTATATATTAAATTTAATCTCAATAAAAAACAGCTGATGCGATACTAAAATTAGACAATAAAAAAATGGGTTGAAAACAATTCAAAACAAAAAAAAATTTGTTTTAATTCACAACTAAATTTCTTCTTTATATATAACATTATCGGAAAAAAAAAAATTTTTTTTTAAAATAAAGAATCAATTAAAATTATCGTGAGATTATTTTAATTCATAGATTAAAGAAGCATAATCCTATTCTAATTATTAATACCTTTGCTTTGCTATAGGACGTTTGCAGAGTCGAAGCAAGGTAAGCAAGGTAGAATTTTAATTGATTAGTCAATGGATTTTCATTGGCCCATTGTGTATATATATTACGTCACTTAGTTAAATACGTCAATCTTGAGATTTTATTCAGTTAACCAACCAATCTTGTTTTGTAAAAAAAACAAAACTTTAAGTTAAAAAAAAATCGACAATAAAAGGATTCGTATCATGCCTTATATTACTTGCTTTGTTCCTGGTGACTCGGAAATTTTCAAAATCAATATCAGAAAAGACAAAGACATTGTTGAACTCAAGAAGGCCATCAAGGAGAGAAAACAGTCAATATTCAGTACTATCGATGTTAATAAACTTCTTCTCTGGAGGGTCAACATTCCAACGGCTGATGAACAAATGATTATGAAAATTTCCAACGATTCGATCAATATTGAGGATGAAACCGGAGGCGAGTTGTTACCTTCATTGGGAGATATTCAAACGCTATTTCCCAAGCAGCTTGCCAAGGATCATATTCATGTTCTCGTATTGTCCGATGATGTAAATGAGCTCTCAAAGAGATGCGATTTAGGTGAGTATGATATGCAAACAAACGAAAGGTTAAAATTTCGTTCACATATAACAACCTATCTTGTCTTTATAATCCCTCCCCTTTCGTTTAGACGCCGCCTTCATCCCGCCTTACTTGAAAAATAATGCAAGGATACTCCTTGAAATAGTTGATAGCAAGATGGAGGTTAATGAACAAGCCTGGTTAATTCAATGGAATCGCCCATTTTCGCGTGAGGGACTGAATCAGACATTGGTACCTTATTTTTTTTTATACCTTACTTGCTCGTACGATATTTAAGCTAATAGTATGTGTGAAATTACTTCAAGGATCATCTCATCGCTCATATCACAGATCCACAGTGGAATGGGGTAAATTTAAATGGTTGGAACACGGTATTCAAATTTCGTAATGGGAGACAACTTTCTGAATGTGAAAGGGCCTTGCCGGAATGGTAAGTAACAAATTAAAATATAACATCAAATAAAAATATATATATATATTATAAACGATAAATCTGACATCCTTTGTAATATAGGGCAAGAAGGCAAGTTGAAAAGACAGATATTGGAATGAGTTATCGCGTTAACAAAGTGTCAGATAACGGAAAAATCGTAATAGAGTACTTTGATCATGCTTTTAATAGATAATTGGATAGTAGAAGTTGATGTTACAGCCCTAGGGTCAATTAATTCCATTACAATGTAAATTTTATCGTTAGAATTTAAAGTTATATCAAGTCCTATCAATAAAGAGAATTTCGTTTTAATTCAATTGATTATTTAAAGTTCATTATCATTAAGGTTATAATAAATCAAAAGATCGTGATTGAATGTTTGGATTCTTTATGCTGGTTAGAACTTCTAAATAATCTCTTATTTACATGATGGAAGAAGATTCGAAGAACAGATATAGAAATCTATTTCGTCAAAAGGTACGCTTTGTAGTCAATATAAAGGAGGAAACTACTAAAATAATTTTTTTGAATTAATGTTAAGTCTGAACATATTTTTTGGCAGTTCCTCCATTTGTACTGCAAAGTGCCCATATATCTATCGATCAAGAGAAGCCAGAGAAACATTTGATTTTGATTTTTATCATAAATCCAAAATTTAAAATATTTCTAATTACATCTATTTTGGACAATAACTTTTTACGCAGGCCTGTATTCGTACCAAAATAATCACCTTCTCTATTAATAGAAATGATTTCAACTTTTAAAACTTGGGCATAAACTATAAAATGTGATATTTAGCCAATGTCACTACTCTCAATGAAACGAATCTGAATCACCTGGATGCCGAAATAATCGTTAAAGGTATCATTAATACCCATACCAATCATCCAAGATATAACCTATTGATATTATTGTGCGATATGCGTTTGGATTTGAGGTTAGAGCAGAGTTTGACTTCTTTTAATTTAATCATTATCTGATGAATCCTTTTAATGACAAAAAAACACTCCGTAAAATACATCAACGATGCGATGAAGAATTGTACAGGTTTTACAAAAAGCATTGTCATAAGTCCTTGACAACAATTTCTGAATGTTTTTGGAAGATTTCGTCAAAATGAACTATTTTATATACATTTATCTTTTATAGTGAAATGTTTTATCATCTTTAATGATTCCGAAAATAATAAACTTCAAATATTTTAATGACACTAAATATTAATGTATTTGCTTTATTTTATTATTTTTTTAAAACTTTTTAAGAATCAAATTCAAATACTTTAATAATAAGTTACCAAAATATGCTGTATCTCAGGCAATTAAATTAAATTATATATATAAATTAAGTCTGAACTCATGAAAACGAAATCACTTTATAAAATAAAGAACTAAAGCTATAATGGTTAATAAAAAGCTATGACATATTCTAATTATCAATAATATTCAACCTTTGAAAACATAAGGATTTGGTTTGTATAAAAAAAATTCATTGTTTTCAAAGCTTGTAAGCAATGAATAGAATTTGAAATTATAAATGAGATAATTTTTGTATAAGAACTTAATTATAACTTTAAAATTTAAAACTTGAAACAAATGAATCCATAACAAATATAATCTAGAAAATATAAATAAATGATAGATTTTACATCGGATAAAGTTAACTGGTTTGAAAAAAAGAAGAGTCCTAAAGATTTAACAAGAAAATTTATAATACTAAATCAAAAGGTATTAATCAAAAAGAAAAAAATACGGATTAAAAAATTACTGAAGGATTCTTATTATGAACAATATAATCATTACTATTTTAGTTGGTTATTTAAGTGGGGTCCCTTTCTTGTAGATATGGATTAAATAGCAAAGTTTTTAAAATGTATGCATGCGAATTAGCTTCTGTTATATAAGGAATTTTCGTATATGAAATCTGCGTATTTAACGAACTAAATAATCAATAGCTGGTTGAAGACCACAAAAAATTAGCACTGTATACAGTCATTATAACCGATATGATTTATGAAATTGCAATTTGTAGTTGGAATTGGCAAAATATCCAAATCCAAATAGCATTTAGAAATTAAATTAAAAAAAGGCTATTAAAGGTTCCAAATTCAAAATTTATGTATTAAAAAGCTTATCGGATATTTTGCAAGAAAATAAAATTATATGCTTAATTACATTGATGTTGTTGTATTTAATCATTAAGAAACAAAATAAATATACCGGGCCTGTAAACTTTCCTCATTTCTTTTTGCCTTAATGATAATCAAAATGAACTTTTTCAGTCGGTAATTTACATATCCATGATAGATTCTATGGTGTAATTATAAAATTTGTAAATATTTATAAAATGGCATTGCACCCATATATCACTTTGAAGAATGGTTTCCAGAAATCAAAATCAAATTGTATATTTTCTTATATGAATTACCATTTTAAAACGTTTTCTTAGATATAAATGTGAAATTGTCAAAAAAAGTTTGAAAAATACCGATATGAAAAATTTTTTCGTATTTAATAATAAAAATAATAAAATCCATCTAAAAAAATATAAATCATTCTCATCGTCTATAAAATAAAGAATTAGAATATGACGAATTTTTTTAAAAAAAATGATTTAATTCTTCTTATAAGTGTAGCTTTTCCTTTTATAATATTTTAAAAAGAAAAAATTATATTTTTTTATAATTGATTTACTATCTAATCTAATTGTAATTTAATTAATTAATTAAAATTCAAATACTTATTATTATTTATAATAACCTTCTGAATTGGATTGAATTATTAAAATCGTCAATGTAACTTATAAATTGACTTACTATGTAAGGAATATTGAAGTCATGTGCTTTACTATGAAACGCTTTTTAAGCATAAAATTCTTTGTCAAAAATTACCTTCCGTTGCATTTCTTGGTTCAAGTAAATTTTCAAAATGATAAACTAACTTGTGAATAATCTGCTATTTGTATAATTAATATTCAAGTTATTCACTAATGTATTACTTGTTTCTTGTCGAGATGAATTAAACTTCTTAAAGAAACTTTTAATAATACTTTTATTTTCATTCGAGGCTTGAATAATGTTAAAAATAAAAAAATGGTTATATACGGTCAAATTTTCTAGGTCATGACTTTCCTATAGATCCTGATCCTTTTTTGCACTAAAACATCTTTAAGAATTCACCAGAGTTGTAATGAATATCTTATTATTCTTTCCGCAATAAAATATTCAACCGCAGTATAATTCAAAGGTCAAAAGTAATTCACCGGTATGTGAGAAAACTAGGTTTATTTTCTGATGAATGGGAGGGAGAGTCTGTCAATTGATTGGTCCATAAACAGATAAAGGTTTATTTCTGAAACATACTCTCTGCAATATATTGTATAATATATTATTGTACTTTCAAAAATGTTTTCCTACTATTACACACAGAATATTGTCGTTCCTGACTGTACAACAGTTTGAAAAAACTGCGAACGTAAACTCATTGAGGGGCAGCTTGAAATAATGCCCCCCAGTTCACCACAGTGTTGGCAAATGACATTGAAATGACCTCAATGACCTCACTTTTATTATAAAATTTCAATATTGTCAGCAGGTATTAGTAGATAAATTTGATTCTTGTCTATTTTTATTACAAACAATAAAGCAAAGACACCAAAAATACATTTGTTACATTATAAAAATATCAATCCAACAAAATGAAAAAATCCACTGCGTAATTATCGTTCGTTTTAATTTCTACATTTTTCAATTTTCTTTATTAAGGTTCCTTTTCTGCTTTATTGTATAATAACTATATTTCGAAATTGTGAAATTGTATCACTACTCAAAATGGAATAATTAATTTGTGTTACGTTATCGTCATCATATAGTAATTTCCATTATTAAATGACGTTATTCTGATCATATTCAAGAAAAATTTGCTAAGCATAAAAATTTCTAATTTATACAGAAGTAATTGTATTAAAATGATTATCAATAATAATAAAAAAAACAATGGTACCTAAGTCTATTAGTATTTATCTTGAATGATATAAAAATTTAATTTTATAAATTTTAAAAAACTTGATAATGAAAGAGAATATAAATCAAATAAATCATGAGAAAGGAAAAGTTTCCAATACAATAGGAATTGCAGTTATAATTGTTCTTCAAATTTTATTTATTAATAAAATAAAAATAGTATATATTATCATTATGCTTTATTTGAAGGATATAATGAAGGTAATTTTAATAAAAAATATTTGGATTATTGTTATTTAAAAATAATATGATCTATTTGCCTTTATTACTAGAATTTAGAGTCAAATCATTGACTTGATCTGATGTTAGGACATGAATTAAATATACATTTGACCTAATATAATCTGATCTGGTAATACCTAAATTGATTTGACCTGTCTAAAAAGAAAATTTTTTGTTTTATTAATTTTAATAGTATTTATTTTAAATGAAAATAATTTAATCCAATTATAAAAATAATATAATTAATATAAAACTAAACAATTATTAATCCTTATTGTTTATTAACTGCAAAATTTAAAAATATAGTTACAAGTCTAGTGACTGCTAATATAATTATGAAAAATATTTATAATTCAATAACTATTAATCCAATTATAATAAAAATTTATATTTAAATATTTTTGAATCTATTAAATAACTTTACTTAAGCATCTAAAATTGACTTAATTTGATTAAAATGCTTAAATTATTATTAAATAAATAAAAAAAATTTTTGTAAAATAATACAATTAAGAAAAATATTTATAATTTTACAATTATTAATCTAATCATAATAAAATTTATATACATATTTTTAAATCATTGAACAACTTACTTAGATGTCTAAAGTTGATTTACTTTGATTAAAGTACTTAAATATCTCTTTAAAGTAATTAAACAGATAAAAAAAATTAAAAATAATTTGTTGATTAATATAATTGCAAAAAATGTTTATAATTTAAAATTTAACTTTTTGACTATAATAAATTATAAAGTAATTATATAAATAATATTATTAGAATATAAAAAAAAGTATGATTAAATAAAAATTAAAATTGTTTAATATGTTTAATAAAAAAAGATCAAAATAATTATTTTAAATTCTTTATGTCGTTTGATTTGATTAGTTGACCTGAATTTTATTAAGTAATTTATAAGTTTGACTAAATCTAATATTGATTTGAAATCATTTATCTGATCAAATTTTTTAGGTTAGGTCAGATCAGTTACAGTTAAACTAATTTAATTCAAAACTCTATTAAAATAACTTCAAGTAAATGATATAAAATTACAAAAATTAAACTATGATATTTAGTACAAATAAAAATACAATCTGAATTTAATCTAGATATTTAATAAGCTATTTATTAAAAGATAAATTATAAATTAGATTATTATATATATAACCTAAACTATTTTGTTAAAGTTAAAAATCAAAAGTTTATATAATTATCACTTTTATTTTTTATACTTAGTATTATTATTCATAAATTTTAATTCAATATTCAATTATTTGATCATTTAAAGGATTTATTTATTTTTTTGTCATAATCATTTGATATTTATTATTTTACAAATGATTTAAACAATAAATGATAAATAATCAAGATCATTTAAAATCATTTAAATCATTTGTCATTTAATCATTTATTTTTACAAAAAATTTTAGTGATACTCTTAGAAGATCAACAATTTTCTAAAGTTTTACTAAGTATTTGCAATTTTATTTTCCAATAATAAAAAATTATTTCCTTAGAATAATACTACTAACATTCTTTTAAATAAAACTATAAAATTGTTTAATTTTAGCTTAAATTTAACATTTGATTTAACTTACTAGACTTGTTTAATTCATAATTTGATCAATTTGTTCAGAACTCAAATATAATTTAATATATTATAAAATACTATATGGGTGGTATACTATTAAAATTGAGGTATAAGACATAGTAAATCATATGATCTGTACCTCAATTTTAATAGCACATTACCTATATATAAAATATTTACACAATATGAAATTTTTTTTTTTAATATATATAATTAAATATTTTAATAAATTTAACTTATTTATACTATGATAAATAAAATAAATAATAAAAATTTACAAAATATGCTATATTTAAAAATTATTAAAACTATAAGTCATTTGTCATTTGTCATTTAAATTATTTGTCAATTATATTCATTTAGCAAATATTGTTTTAATTAAGTATAATTATAATTACAATATTATGTAATAATAATCACTATCATATTAAAATACTTTGAGTTATATTAATATGTATAGATTATTAAATTGAATAAATGAGAATTTGATGAAAACTAATTTTTAAAAAATTTTTAAAAAATTTTATTACTATTATAAACTTAAATAATCCTAATTTTAAGCTTAAGATATAAAACTAGATATAATATATTATTAAACTATTAGCTATTAGTTGAGGCTGAATAAATTTCTTTAAAAAGTTTCATTTTTTTTGATTAACTTGAAATAATATTATTTAATCTTTAAATTTACATAATTATTTGTAAAAATTCAGTTTTAATTTATTAATTACTATTTGAAATTAATCTTAAATATTGAAATACAATTAATATAACTTAAGTAAATTAATAATTTGTATAATAATACCTAAAATTCTATTTATTTTTTCAAAGAATAATATATAAAAGTATATAATAAGCTATAATCTTTATAAAATCAGAAATATTCAAACTTAAATATATATTTTATATGATCTATAATACTCTTCAATTAAATAAATAATAGTTAAATAATAAATATATACTTTATTTAAAATCTTTTATCAATTATTTGAGATACTAATAAAAAGTATATCTTGACAAAATTTACTAATATATACCAATCATCTTTATCTAATATGATTTAATTGATTAGAATAATATATATCATAATTAAGGATGCTATCCTAAACTACTAAAATTAGTTTCAATTAAACAAAATTAGTTTTAGTAGTTTTAGCTATTAATTAAACTAGTTTAATTATTCTAAATTATAGAATTTTAATTTTGAACAGCAACACTAATTATAATAAATAATTTTACTAATCTATTATAAAATCAGAGTTTTCTTTTTAATTTCTATATTGTAAAAGATTTGTATATTTATAGATTTTATCTTTTATTTTATTAATTCAAGATAATATTTTATTTATTTATTTATAATTATTTATTTAATAAGCTATTATTAAAATTTTTAATAAATTTAATAATATGATATTAGTCTATTGATTTGTTTAACATTCTTTAGAATTATAAATTCTATAAAATTTTTCTTTCTTTTTAAAATTAGGTTGAATTTTTTATTTATTAATTTTATATTAAAAAAATTACAATTTTTTTTTGAATATTTCATATTTCATTTTTTTTTAAAAAACTAAGTTTACTATTTTTAATTATTAAAGTATTTGAAGATATCCATAATGTTTTTTAAAAATATTAAAATAAACAATAATATTATTAATAAAAATTGCTATAAATCAATTAATATATTCTTTTAAAATTTTGTTTATAAATTTTGAAAAATAATAGGACATTATATAATTTAAAAGACATGACATTGAATTTATAATATTTACCTTTAATCACAAAAGCAGTTTCTTTATAAATAGAAAATTTTAGATTATTTAATTTGAAGTATTTTAAAATTATTTGTTAAAATTAATTTTTTTCTATCTCTTAGATCCATTTTTATTTATTAGAATCTACTTGCTAAATCAAAGTTAAAACCATTTAAATCTATTTAATTTTTTTATATTTCATTAATTTTTAGAATAAATAAGCATTTTGTTTAATAAGTTTATTTAATCTATTATAATTAATACATAATTGTTTTTTTTTATTTGCTTCCTTTATAATTATAACTAGTAATATTTATAGAAATTCAGATTCTTGAATAATATTTTATTTTAACATTTGTTTCTTTGTAAATTCTTACTTTTTTTATTTTTTGATAGTATTTTTAATTGGATTAGTATATTTTGTATTGATTTATATTAGGTTATATTTTTTTAACCTTTATTAACTATTTAGATTTATAAATATTTGCTATAAAGTAATCTTCATTCTTCTTAATTTAACATTTAATTTTCTTTGATACATAATAGTAAATTCTTCATTCTTTTTATTATTTCTGATTGCACAACTTCAGCAAAATTATATGATAAAGTATCCCATGATTCTATCATCAAGAAATTTATATAAGTTAGAGCAATCTTACATTTTTTATCATTTTTTTTATATTTTAAGAAATTAAAAAAAAATCTAAGAATATTTTTATCTTTTAGTTTATTCTAATTCAGATTTTTTATATAATATAAACATTACAATTATATTTAGAATTTTTAGAAAGATATTATTCTTTCTAAATAACTTGTGATGTACTAGAATTATAGTAAGATCTCTAACAATTATTTAGAATATAAAAAGAGAAAAAATGCTAAAATTTAAAGAATTTTACCCAAAAATTTTTAGATTTTATACATATTTTATATATATTAAGTACTGCAATAACTTTTTATCATAAAGTATAAGTCTGGTTGAGTATTCTTCACAAATTTCTTAAATATAAAAAATGATAAATATATATTTTGTTGAATATTTTTAGGTTTTGATATAGTAATATATTTTTGTAAAATTTTTATATAAGAATAGTCATATATTTTTTTAGAATTATGATTTTAAAGTTTCTTTATGTATTTTATTAAGTTGAGTATTTTGCATATGATTAAATTTATTTTTTAATTCATTTAAAATAGCAATATCAGCAATATCATTTTTTTGAATTTAATAATTCATAAACTTTTATAAACCTGATATAAGAAAAAAAAAGAAATTTAATTTATTATTTATAATTGGCCCTATCAAATAAGCTTAAATTTTATAATTACGTAAATAATAGATGATAATTACATAAACTTTAGGAGTTTATTATATAAATAAATCAATTATATCCTGGCTAATTAAAATAGTAAAATTTTACTTAGAATCAGAACAATAAGCTGATTTAGCCAGAATATAACTAATACTTAAATATCTAATAAAATATATAATTTCTTTATTATATATTATTAAAATTGTTAAATTTTCTTATGTATAATAGCATTTTAAAATATATAAATTTATTAGTAAAATTAGGCTAATAAATTTTAGACAATCCAAAAAAAAATAAAGTATTCTTAAAGTAACAATTAAATATTTTTTATCTTAAAAAATATGAAAAGAATGATATTTAAAGTATTAGTATATTTTTATAGAATAGTAATTTACCTTTTAAAGACAAATTAAATATAATATTAATTTAATCTTTAAGAAAAAATTTGTAAGATTTAATAGATTTAATACAAAAGTAAAAATTAAACATTTTTAATTACTTTAATTAACAAGCTTTATTTTATCCAAAAGCATTTAAATCAGTGTTAAAATTATATGCACAAATTAAAATTACATTTTTTGTTATGTAATATATTAAAACTAATATGTGCAAATGTGCATTTTGTACACATACATTTTACTCTGATTTTGGCGGTATAAGAAAATTATTCTACTGTATATGGCACGATTGTTCTTGAGACTATCGATTATAAATGTCTATTAAGTTGAAAAGCTTCTATCCAAAATAAGTTTCACTTGCATCCTTTTATGTATATCAATCTCGACATCTATCCGTGCATTTCACTGTCGAAAATTTTGACTTTACAATGAACCACCTTTTTTTTTTACATATAGTTACAAATGTCATTCGTCCAAAAATTAGGAAATGAATTATATTTCACGTGAAAAGTTTTAAAATTGCCCGAAACTTCAAAAAAATTAGATAGTGTAAGAAATCGGGTACATGATATGATTTTTATGGTATCGTTAGGTTAGGATGGTTAGAATTAGGTTATAATTAGGATGGGCGGAAAGCATTAATTACCAGCTTTGGGATTCGACATTTATAACAATACATTGTTTTCTATAAAACGTATTGCTCTATGTCCAAATTTAGTCATCTGACAAAGTGAACAATAAAATTCCAGAATTCAATAATTCTCATAAATTGAAAACAATAAATTCATGAATAATTATATAAGAGCAAGTCGTCTTCTTTATATTAACCTTCTTTCATTTCATAGATGAAAATTTTTTTTCAATAAAAAAATGTCAAGAAATAAAGCAAATCTTATTACGATTTTCGACCAAAGTTATCGAGAATGTCATGATATCATCTTGAATTCTTTAAAAGATGATTTGAAAACGTTATATTCATGCATCCGCGTGAACAGATCATTTTGTCGAAATTTCATTCAGATTCTTTGGATAAATCCTTTTAAATTCGCCAAAGATGAAGATAGGTTGGTTCAAATATTCAATACCCTAATTCATTGTCTTGATCAAACCGATAAACAATGGTTGGCCAAGCAATCAATTGAGATAGAAGAACTTCTCATACCCATGGCGTATTTTCAATATCACACTTTCATCAAAGAGTTTGAATTGAATTCTTTACGGAAAGCAATGAGAATTTGGACTTCAATTCATTTACTAAAGTCAGGTGAAAGAAGTAGGGTTATCAATAGAATAATTCATAAGTGTATTGGTAATTTAGTTTTTAATAAAGAGGGTCAATATGACTCTCTTAATCTATTTTACAATGATTTTTCAAGATCCATACTTAATATTTGTGAATTTAAGAATCATAAAAAAAGTTTAGCCAATGTTAAGAAATTATCGTTGGGATTATTCAATAGTAATGGTATGGAAGTAATCACGCATATCGCAGAAAATTTTTCAAAACTTCAAAAAGCTTTTTCACCAAACATCCAACACTTACAAATTCTTGGTATTAATTCGATAAGACCAAATGAATTATCTAGGAATTTGATTTCATTCATTCATTCACAACGTCACCTGAAATCTTTATTAATTCATGACTTTTGGAAAGGTGAATTTGAACCTTTCCTTAATGCCCTACGAAAACATACAAAATCCTTAACTTTTTTAAAATTAGAATGTCCAATTTTGTTCACGACAAATTTATTGTCCATGTTAAGATCATTACCAAATCTAATCACGCTCGAACTAAAGTTTACGCCCATTCTTGATGGAGATGCTTCACGAGAAATTTCAACGGCTTCTTTTAGTAACCTAGAACATCTGAATTATGATTGTTGTCTCTCATATCATTCAACAAATCACATTACACTCTTTAAAAAAATCCTTTTATCAGCAAATCATTTGAAATCCCTCAGAGTTGATGACACTTATTGTCTTTTTATCAAAGAAATTCAGGGACAATGTTTTTCGAATTTAACTCATTTTCATTTAATTTTGCGCCGCAGTGCTATCATGGATTCAATGTCTTTTGTGGATTTAATGGATTTATTAAGAAACTTGCATCAACTGATTCATTTGAAATTAAATAGCGTTTTAAATCGTTATTGTATATTAGATAGAATTGATTTATTTAAAAAATTCTCTCAAGTACTTGCTTGTTCTCTAAAAATTCTCGAAGTTAATTTTCCTGTCTTTGATGAATATTTGAAAGTACTGTTCAATGAATCCAAATTTAACCTACAATGCCTTAAGTTGTATCGTTATGAACGGTATCAAGATATTTCATTAAAAGTTTTCATCGATTATGCAAAAAGAAATGAGGGATTTAAAGAACTCGGTATCACTAAAGAATTCAAGTTTTCTAAAGAACTCATTGAAGAGGCACGACATCACTTTAACATTTTGGTACACGCCAATAATGAAATCAATAGTCCATTTTATGGTAAGTTATCATCTTTTTGTTTTGTTTGTATAGAAATTGATAATTAACTTTTTGTTCTTTATAGATATACCAATTAAAAATTCCTATTGGTGTAATAAAATATAGATAACACGACGTTTTCTTTGATTTTAATTAACAAAAATATGTTTATTGATTGTGAGAAATATTTTATATATAACGAATTCTTTACAACAAAAAAATAAATGTACTTTTTTGTATATATTTGAAAATCAATAATACAATCATTCCAAATTATTATCGTTCATAAATTATCAATATTTTAAAATATCGGTCCATGAAGATAGACTGTTTGTTTTGTTCTTGCTAACGAGATTTGAAAATTAAAAAAAAAAAGCATTGGTGTAATGCATGTTCAGTACATACTCAATCACGTGTGGAAAATGAAGTTTGCTATTAAAATCAAGTTACATAACCGGTTATACCGTAATTCATTTCCAACAAAAATGTTTTTTATGAATTTTGAATGAATGAAAATCATTTAAAAAGATTTTCTATTAATTTTAGAGAATCGGATATTATTAATGTAAGTTATCAAGGAGCAAGTTCGTTACTATATTTCAATTTTTGGCTAAGGTTTTTTTTTTTTGGACGTTTTTCCTTTTTTTTAACAAAATTTTTTTATGAACGCTCTTCGATCCTAAGGTAAATCAAAGTTTGCAAGCAGAAAAATGATAAAAAAAAATTTATTTATTTTTATTCATAACTCGATATTCGATTAATTTAATAATTTATTTCTCTTTATTTTGCAAAACGAATGTTTCTAATATTATTCACAAATGGAAACCCAAAGGTTGAAATATTCCGTAAACAACTCGAATGTTCACACGTGCTATCTCGAGAATTTCATGCGACGTCGATGATAATTTTCATTTTAATATAAATTACTTGTTTTTTAAAAAAAAAAAATTGAAATTTGGATATATTATTTACCCATCTAGGAAACATCATTCAATTAACACCCTCATTAAAAACAAAGTACTTTCTTTTTTCATTAAAAGTTGAAAATAATCATTAATTAGGTGATGAACTATATGGGGAAGTTCCGAAATCAACATAATTTAATGTCTGATCAAAGTTTCATTGGGAGTGCTCTACAAACGTTTGATAACCTCAATTTGTTTTTTAATGTTAATTGATTTTTTTATGGTTCTATTGTTAATAAAATTTTTTTCACAACAATTTGGCACGCAAGTATTCTCTAAATTCAAAAATGCAAATTTTTGTTATCGATTTGTAAGAGAAAAAAAACACTCTAGCAGTTCACATTTGATAACAAAAAAAAAAAATTCAGATGAAAAAATTTGAAATGTTTGCGCAATAAAAATTATTATTAATATAATTAATATAGAATAATACGAACCGTGTAATAAAATGAGAAAAAGAAGTGAAAGACGGATTTTAGATATCACATGTATATGGAAATCTCATGTTAATAAATTGAGATCTTCATACAAAATTACCCCAAAAACGTTCAATATGAATGATAATTATCTCGAGAAAGAGACACGATCAAACATACGGTAAATCTATTTAAATATAAAGGAAAAAGAAAATAATCCATTTTTTCCTTTCAAATTTAATGGATTTCTCACCAGAAAGAAGGCACATTCTTTTTATAATTTGATTTTTGACGTTTTCCTCCAATTTTTCCTTTTTTTTTTTGGAAATTATGATTATAATTATATAATAACCTTTGAAAGGAAATTATATCTTTTAAACTTTTTAATCACGTCCTTAAAACTTTTTTTCTTTCTTATTTAGACAAAATAAATTTTTTTTTTTTTTTTTTTTTTTATGAATTATAATCATGTTTCCATCAAATTCTCATCGTCGAAGTAGTTATATTCAAAGTGGCAGAAAAACTTTGCGTAATGATCATTTAGATTTACTTCATTTACTAAAACGTCAAGACGAGAACGATGAAACAGGAAAAGATGAGACATTTTCACACAACCCGATCATACCAAAGCCCAACTTTTTATCCCAGGAAGTCACAGAAAACTCGTCAAATGATTCAAATGGAAATGGGAATGGAAAAAATGGGGATATAATACGTCAAGGATTAATTGGTTTTGGAATAGTACTTACGGGAATAGTCGCAATAACAATGATAATTGGTGTGATAGCATACATTTATCGTGAAAGGTTAATTCGTAGGCGAAGGTCCAAATTAAATGCTCAAAAAGTTAGAATGATTTCACGCAAAAATTCTAATCATTATAGAAGTATTATTAGCCTTTATACGGATAATTTTAAGAAATTCAATGAGTATGATGATCATGAATCAAGCGACATGACGGAAGTTTCGAATACTAGTAAAAATAATGTTACGAGTAACCCTTCCACCAAAATTATTAGAAATATAAGTCTTGATTCTAATGCTAGCATAAAGATGTCAAACGCTACAACAATTGAAACTCCAAATTCAAATATTCATCCAATATCATCACCAATTGCATTCCCCTCTGCTAGTATGTATAGTAATGAAAGAGCAAGTTCTTTGGCAAATAATATAGCAAAATCAAATGTTTTCCAAGCGACAAGACCTGCTCCTCCAGCTCCCGTTCGTTCGCCAATCAAAACGAAGCAACAAAAGAACCTTCAAAGGACGTTTCAAATACATTCAAATACTTCCTTTGCTCTAAGCCCGGAAGGCAATTTAATTCATCCAATGCCCACTGCTTCTTCATACTACGTACAAGGTACCCCCCCGGTAGACACAGAGACGGAGTCGTTCATAAAACCAAAGGATTCTCCAACAATACCATTAAATATGTCACGTCAAGATGATTATATTCGAGCCGCACCATCCCAAAATTCCTTAATTCCTTCTTTCCCTTCTCCTCCTTCTTCTACTCCTTCTAGATATTCTGATTACAAAAGTAATTTATATAATGTTGAATATGAAAATTATTTATCACCTACGGAAAGTGCAAAAAATTCCATTTATATTTTGGATGGACCAACTAATCTGTCTGAAGTTCGTATTACCACAGAACATTTAGGTATAAATTTTGAAAGTTTATTTTCATGTCAATCAGATGTTGATAACTCTGTTCAACAATTAAATAATTGTTTTGAATCTCACAAGCATAGTAAAGAAATGACGCAAGACAAGGATTTGAATCATGTGACTAAACTTAAGGATGATAAAGGTAGTTCGAATAATAATAATACGATTACTTATTATCTTACAGGGTAACGGTATTGCCTTTTTTTAGTTTTATAATTAACAAACGTTCGCCATAATTTTTAATTTAATTTAATTTCATGTATAAAATATAAAATTGTATTTTTATAATTACAGCAATTTCTTAAAATAGCAAATTTTAAAACTAATTAAAAATAAAATTAATCGTTAAACCTTATATTAATTTTAATTTATGATTTATCTATTGTAATTATAAATCTTTTTTTATTTCAAGACTTATCCCTTCAATGATTTTCCTTCAAATTTAAAGGAATTTTACTTACGTATTAATGTTAATTTTAGATATATTAAAAAATAGTTATCAAAAAATAATATTTATATAATATTTTTTATAATATTTTTTAAATAAAATCAAAAAAAAAAAATACATTAATTAGTAAATATTGTAAATATTTTTTTAATAAAAGTATTTTCTTCATAAATAATTCATAATTTTTATTTATTTTTATATTATTAAAAAAAAACTTTATAAAAATATAAAAATTTATATTTAAACTAATTATTATAAATTAAAAAAAGAATGTTATTTAGATTTTATATTGAAAATAGTGATACCTGCCTAAACTCTTTTTTGAAAAATGGTAGTTTCGTCAAAAGTTTCATCATTAATAAAAAACTAGTTTCGTCATTTCGGTTTCGTCAATTTCGTCATATTAAGAAAGGTAATTTCGTCATGTATCACTAATTGAAAATTGAAAATCATGACTAAATTTGAATAAAAATCATTTATTAATAACTTATTACCATTTAAGGTTAACCAGAAGTGATTTCATATATTGTGCAAGGTGATTACTAGTTTAGTTTTGTAAGCTCACTTGTGTGACAGTTACGTTGCTAAATTCATCTTTGTGATAAATGTTCACTTAAAGATCTTATGTGATAATTACAAAAAATAAAGAAAAAACCAAGTTTTATAATATCTAAAAAAAAGGTACTTATTTCAATGGAATTCTAAATTTGGAATAAATTTAAATATTTAAAACGCCAACTGCATAATAAATAGGGGCTAAACTTTAAAAACCTTTTTCTTTTCATTTATTTTTTTGCTCTTCACGTCAAATTTATTGTCTATACAAATTTACAAAATGTCTGATGAATCTAATAGCAAAACTTTGTTAGAAAATGAAATGTGGTTACAAGAAGCTATTGAAAATGAGCATATTATATATCAAAGATACTCTACTTTTGAAAATACGGAAAGCATTGGACACGGAGCGATGGGGGAGGTGTATAAGGCAACATCAAGTTGGTTTCAAAAGACCATAGCATTAAAAAAATTTAAAATTTCTTCAAAGTTTACTATAAATGAAATTATAAATGAGGTATATTTCTTACTATATATTAATGGATTACAACAAAAATTTTTTCTTTTTTTTTTAATGTTGCCATTTTAAAAATATTTTAGATAAAGTTACATAGAAGAGTGGACGACTTACATGATAATATTTTGAGATTTCATGGTGTTACCACGTTAGGTAAGTTTTCAAACAATGCAGTTGATCATATGGAGCCTTTGCAATTGCCGGAAAAATAAAAATGAGTTAATGCTAAATTTGAACATATTTCGGCCTGAAAATCATATTTGGTATATAAAGTAAAATTGATTTTTCCCGGCAGTTTCCCCCCTTACTATTATTGCAAAGGCCCCATATGGGCGATTCCGCTGCGCCACACAATTAAACGTTTACGTTATACATATATTTTTATATATATATATATATATATATAGTACACCCTCCGACCTTAAAAGAAAATCAACTTATGCTAATTATGGAATATGCAGATGGAGGAACTTTAAGAGAATACTTATCTCGAAATTATGAAAAAATGGATTGGAACATTAAACTTGATTTTGCAAAACAAATTGCGAGCGCAGTTGAATGTTTACACGTGCATGAAATTGTTCACCGAGATTTGGTAAGTCTATCATATTCTAAATTTATTTTAAAATTCAAGTTAAAATATTTAATTTTGTTATTTAGCACTCGGAAAATATATTCATTCACAAGAATAATGTGAAAATTGGTGACTTTGGTATATCAAAATGCATTTGTGAGGAAACAAGTCAATTATTAAAAGGGTTTGCATCCATAAAATATACCGATCCTGAATACTTAAAAAGTCAAAATTTTATAAGGAACAAAAAATCTGATATCTACAGTTTAGGAATGTTACTTTGGGAAATTTCAAGTGGACGAATCCCATTTGAATTAAATCCACCTGATTTTGATATGACTTTAAAAATCATTTATGGTAAAAGAGAAATAAATATTAGAGGCACTCCACTTAAATATGTTGATGTGTATACAGGTATTTTTAATTTAAATTTATTTCGTATCATTGTATATATTTATATATTTATTTATTTATGTTTAATTACATCAAACAGCCTGTTGGAATAATGATATTAACATTCGACCAACAATAAATCAAGTTATTATAGAACTTAATGATATAAAAATAAATGAGATTAATGAGTTTAACATCGTTAATGCAAGTCAAGAACATATAATTTTAAATCAGCCATTAGTTAGTTATATTTCAACAATTGACAAAAATGATAATGCAATTCCCGAAAAATTACAAGAAAATAAGCTTGACAATAAGTTCAGAATTAAAAATATTGCAAATATTAGAGAAGGAATTCTAAAAGATTTAACAGAAGAATTTGTTAATCAGTTATACTTTAACCGAAATTTAGATAAACCATTTGAAATATTTAAGCCAGATTGGTTAAAAGAATTTATCAACAAGAAAAATATAGATTCAAAAAATTTACTTGAAAAGATGCTCAAATATGAACAAAATAATTCTTATTTCACTAGTTATATCGGTTATTTTTATCAAAATGGGATTGGCACTGAAATGGATAACCATAAATCATTAGAATTTTATCATCAAGTAGCAAGTATGAATTTTAAGTCTGAAATGAAAAATAATTCCTTAGAAATTATTAATCAATCTATTGGACAATACCTATTAGCAATATTTTATAGATTAGGAACCATAGTAGCCGTAGATTTAGAAAAAATGTTTGAATGGGGAATTAAATCAGCCCGGCTTGGAAATTCCTTTGCACAAGTTAATATTGGCACTTGCTATAAAATTGGATATTGTACGGCAAAAGATGACAAACAAGCATTTGAATGGTTTTTGAAATCCGCAGAAAGTGAAAATATTGATAGTCAATATAAGGTTGCAATTTGCTTTAGGGATGGCAAGGGTACTAAAAAAAGTATTAACAAAGCTATCGAATGGCTTCAAAAATCTTTGGATAATGGAAATGATGCAGCGCGCAAGCCTTTACGCAATTTAAAATGGAAAAAGAAATTTAATGTTTGCAAAATTAATTAAGTTCATTTATCGCTATCGTGTGATTTTATGAAGTCTAAGCATATAATAAGCATTAAGAAAACTCAATATTTCAAGTTACGAGATATAGTAAACATATGAGACCTTTGCAATAGAAAGGGGGTTAACTGCTGGAAGAAATAAATTTTACTTTTATATGCCAAATATAATGAAATCATTTTTTATTTTTCCCGGCAGTTTACCCTCTTTCTATTGCAAAAGATATTAATAGCAAACCATTTCATGATCAAAAAATAATTTCATAGTAATTTCCAACGAAAAAAATCAAGATAGACAATTTTTTTTTAAAATAAATAAATAATGCAATGTTATATAATTTATTACGTAATAAATTTTTTATTAATTCTGGCCAAATGTATAGTGCCGACCAGAATTAAGTTCCACAGGCATACAATTTTTTTTCATTTTCGGAAAATAGATCACATTCTTCAAAAATTGTAAGATACTTTATATAAATAATTATATCCGCTAAAGTTTCCCTTTTTCAAAACAATTAAATTGAATCAAACTCCTGCGATGAATGAAGCGGTGATCATATTTTCAGAATTATCATCATTCGCCTGAGAATGCCCATCCACATACCATCATGTTCACGCAATTTTTATCTTCCCTACTTAATTCGAATTTATGAAAATTTCACTTAGATGCAACGTAAAACTAACAGTTGTATGAAAAGTACGAACTATAATGGGCTTGCACATCAACGTCCACTGCTTGAATCATCTCTGTTTCGTGACGTAAATTCATTGTGTGAAAAGTTCGTTAATGTAAGATGTATATGGTGAGATAATAAAATATTTATTGTGATGCAAGATTTTCCACAGGTCCACTAATTTAAAATGGTGCGCCCCGGCGTTTAAGGATTTTCTTTGTTCCAATCATTTTATTGTTTTATAAGATAATTTATACATAACGATTATGGTAATTTTTTTCCAAAGATAAACTCGAATTGTTCAATCTAAAATAATAATAATGCGGTAATAATAATAATTCTAAACAATTAAAAATATATGAATAATTAATTATTTCCCCTTTGAGGTACAATATATATGTGTTTTTTTTAAAAATAATAATAATAATAATTATAATAATAATGATAACTAGTAAGTTAAATTAAATTTTTTGGTGCGGGTAAATTTGTAAAGCTTAAAAATTTAGTTTGATAAATAGCATTAGGATGTGAGATTATGACAGGCTTCTCAACATTCATTTTCATTTGACGATTATTTTCGGCTTCTTCAAATTTTGTAGAATCCCTTTCACCCAAATACCAACGTTTGATTATATCTCTTAATTCTCTTGTAAAGGGGCGTTGGTATGGATCAGCGTCCCAACATCTTTTCATTAAATCAACATAACATTTCGGGGTAAAATTATCACTTTCAATAATATATGGTCTTAATCCTTCGCAAATTTGACTTGCCAATACTTTGTCATGAGCTCTATTAGAAAAAGGTTTTTCACATGTCGCCAATTCCCACATAATTAACCCGAAGCTATAAATATCAGCATATTTGGTATAATGATCACCTTGTAATAATTCTGGTGCTACATAAGGTAAGACACCATAGACGCCTGAACTTGTGTAATCCGAAGTAGGAATCTCTGCCGGACAACACATCCCAAGGTCCGAAATGAAGGTAGTTGTCTGATTTTTAAGAATATTGCCGGAATGAAGTTTTCTGTGGAACGAACCTTCCAAATGAATTTTATTTAAACCTTCGATTATTTCTGAAAGCGTTTTTAATCTTGAATTCCACGTTAAACTTTTGTTATTACGTTTAAGGTAATTATGTAAGTCCCCTTCTGTTGCGTATTCTGAAATTAACATATAATCTCCCGACGTTGGGTGTTTTGTGATTCCATAACACTTTGGAATATTCTTCTCTTCTGAAAATTGTATATGTATCTGTACCTATATATTTATTTAAAATAAAAAAAAGTGTGGAGATTTTTTTTAGTTTCTACCTAAACAAAAAAATTTTCTTTAAACAAAAAAAAAAACTAAAAGAAAGGAAGCGGAAATTCACTCCTTACCTCTCGTATTAATGCGGTAACGTCCTGGTTAGAATTAAATAACCTTTTCAACGCAACTTGCTTTTCTCCTTCTCTGAAATATTGATTTGATTCTTGATCCCATCTCCAATTAGGACCATTTGACCATATAGCTGAAAAGGCAATGGCAAATTCACCTTCCCTAATGATTTGAACATCCTTAAATTGTTCAAAAGAAATCCATTCCAAAAAATTTGAAGGAAATGAAACGAATTCATGCTTAGCTCGAACTTCACGAGATTTTGCTTCACTATCCCTTGACGATGACGACCTTCCAGAATGACTTCTATGACGGCGAACAAATTGTGGTACGGAAACCTCCCCATAAATTTGATCCGACTCATGTTTAATCTGAGTGGCACGAATGCACTCATCTAATAATTTATTATTAGATGTCCATTCACCTTTTTGTAACCAATGTCCGATACAAAACTTTTGTAAAGGTATTTCAAGATTTGGATAACATTTTGGACAAACACTCTTACTACCATTTTCAACGCAAGTTAGGCAAAAATTTTCACTTAAATTTCTTTCATTACATTTGTCACACATACTTCTATTCGTTGGTACATCATGTTCTTTCCATTCGTTATATAAATAATAAATTATTAAAAATGAAATTGGTCGATTATTTTTTGCTCCCCTAAATTCCATATGATGTCTAGATTTCCACCATTTACGAAAGTCTTCGGCATCAAAATCATCATTAACGTAAGTTGCTTGTGAATAAACGTTTAAAAGTGTGTTTAAATCTATAGCTCTTTCCCGTATCTCTTGTGTACGAGCTGAAGATGTATAATATGTTGGTGCATGAAAAAATTCCGTTAATAATAAATCCAATGCTGCTTGATTATCCATCAATCCTATTTACCAAAAAAAAAAATATTATTGTAAATGAGAAAATTAAAAATAAATAAAAATAAAAATAAAAAAAAATCTATTTTTTTTTTTTTATAAAAAAATATTGTGAAAAAAAAAATGTGAAACAAAAAAAGAAGAATTTATATTTTTTAAGAAAAATTAAATCGTAAATGGTAAAAAAACAAAAAAACCTGAATTCGGCCGAGTACAGGGAATTTGGATTAACTTAAATAAACTTCCTGAAGTAGCACTGAATAACACCAATTTTATAATTCCTGCGGAAATTATGACCTTCCATTAAAACCTTCTAAATTTAGATTAATTTTAATTTCTCTCGTGTTCGTGTTTCATATTTGTCCTGTTAAAACCCCGAAGTTTTGAGTTTCGAATGTTGTAATACCATGTACAAAAAAATACCAACTTTCCCTTATTTATAGTACAAACAATGGAAACTATTTGTTTTATTCCAATAGAAAAATGGAAATTGTTTTTGAAGTTTTCCATTTGGAAACATTTTATGCATTGTTTTTTTCTCATGTGATTCACCTTTTTAAAAAAGTTACTACGTTAATATTATTACGCTTTAGGCAACAATAACAACAAACGTCTATCGAGCTTTATTACAAAAAAGAATCCATTCAAAAGCTTGTAAATAGATAAAACAAGGTAATAATACCCAGTGAAAAACATACGAATATACATGCTTTGATAAAATACGAACTTTTTATTATTTTAAAGGATTTTCGTAGTTGATTCTTTTAAAACAATCAATTCAACTAAAAGTCATTCGTAATTGTTAATACACTATATTAAAATTATGGACAATTACTTCGAAAATCCATTTTAATATATTTATGAAAAAAAAATACTTAAAATGTATTTATTAGTCATCATTTCGGGCGGCTTACCAAATAATTTACTTGCTAGTAAACCAAATGTGGATAAAATAAAATAAAATTGTTATCTTTCGAGAATTAGGTAATACGGTAATACTAAAGTTCGGCATTAATTCTAGTAAAAAAATATGTGGTCTACATCCATTCATTTTACTTGCGGCATTAACATTTATTCTAAAGAGTTTTAGTGATGTACTCATGGAGAGGAGAAATTATCAACGATTACTGAATATTTTAAGTTCTTTATTTCCAACAATTTTTCGGCACATAGTTCTTTAATTATCCACAGATACTTAATAAAAATTGAAATACTACCGTCAAGCCGGTGATAAATCTCCTAAGCTCTAAGCTGATTGATAATATAATTTATTAAATAAAAAAATTAAAATAATTATGATATAAAAAATCAAGTTATCTCCACCAATCACAAAATGTACAATTTAATTGAGACTATTTACAATATTTGCAAACAATTTATTACAAGTATCAGTTTTCATTTAATGCATCTATAACATTTTCTTTAATGATATAAAAAAAATGTAAGTAATAAAAAAAAAATAATAATATTACATTTTCTAATTGTATAAAATTTATAGAATATTTTTTAGGTGATGATGTTAATTATACCAGCCAATCAGAAAGTATGTTATATGTAAAAATGATTAGTTAAATCATTGGAAATAAAATAAATACTTATTATCAAAAATAATAATTATGATAATTAATAACTAAATAATATGTTTATTAAATTTTAATGATTTTAATATTATTTAAAGGATATTTATTATATAATTAAATAAATATTTATTATAATTAATTATATTATTGAAACAAACCTACTTAATATATAACTTAAAAATATAAAAACATTTCAAAACTTTAAAATTATTTTTGAAATCTAAAATATAATTTAACCTTATTAAATTTAAGAGTATAAACTTAAATAAAATATATTAAAAAAAAAATTAGATTTATTATTTTTATTTATATTTAATAAATATTTATTTAAAAAAATATAAAAATTTATATATTATAATATTATTAATAATAAAATTAAAAGATTATTTAAATATTATTATTTATTATATAAAATTATTATTTAATTATTATATAAAAATAATTAAATAAATTATTTAAATATTTGAATTTTATAAAATAAAAATAAGTTTTTAATTAAAAAGATTAAAATAAAATTATAATAAAATAAAAAAATATATATATAATAATCTTTAAAATTAATAAATTTAATATTAAATATATAAAAAAAAAAATAATATACATTATAAATATAAATTAAAACATAAACTAAAATAAGAAAATTACCTCATATTACTGATGGTAATCATTATCGTTATTATATAAGATATATAAAAGCTTTGTAATAAAAGAAAGAAAATTTCAAAAAATATTTTTTTTAAGATAATGTTAAATCTGAATTTATTTAACTAAAAAAATCATATTTAGCTAATAAAAGTAAAATTTTAACTTTTTTAGATTTTTTCCTTAAACTCCTATATAATTTATATGTTTATATTATATATATTATTTATCAACCTTATATCACATTTTCCTGTTTCATTTTTACTATATATTCTAGAGATTTAGAATTTTTTTATCGCTAAAAAATATTTGTTTTATCTCTTTAAATATCACCAATCATATTAGATAATAAAAAACCTTAATTATTATGATTGAGTTATTATTAATAAATAGTAAACTCCTTAAAATAAAGTTATAAATAATAATTTATATAATTACATTATCAGTAGCTTCACTTAGAGCTGACTGTTACATTTCAAATAAAGCTAAACTTTATCATGAACATTTAGCAAAACGTGTAAATTTTGAAATTCAAGTATCAGAAAAGAAAATAATAGAAATTTTAATACATAAAGTTCCTGAAGATGATAAAAAAATTAAAAAGGAAAAATTAACGAAAAAGGAAAAAATATAATGTGACTGAAGATAAATTAGGTAAGTATCTTAGTTAATTATAGTATAATATAATTATATAAATTTTTAATAATTAATAATATAAATTTTAGATAATAACTTATCATCTGATTTGAAAAATAAGAAGAAAAGAAGAATCGGCAAAAAATGAGAAGAAAGAATTAATAATCAAACTGAAAACTACCAATAAATCTCATATTAAAAATTATGTATTACATATTTTAACAAAAGAGACATCATATTTTGAAATTTTATTTTTATAGATGTTAGTTTCAAATGGATTTGCCTTTACTTTTCTTGAAAATCAAAAAACAAAAAACCTTTTTGCCTTTATTACTTCAACTTTAAAATTATTAGGCTGATGAAAATAAAAATAAGCAATAAAATTTTACCAAAATCTACCAAAATTTTAATGAAATTAATTGTGAAAATAGCATAAGATGATAAAATTGGAATAACTGCAGCTTTCAATAAATAGTCTAATATTAAACAAAGGTATTTATTTAGTAATATTTTTTATAACATCAACAAGTGAAATGCTTATTTGAAATACAAATAATATTAGTGATAAAAGGTCAAAAACCAAAGATATGATTAACTATATTAAAGATATAATGATTGATACTAAAAAAAATATCAAAATAAATTGCTTTATTTCTGATTCAGCTTATGAATATGTTACTGCACAGTATGTATTCTTTTTTTATATTAATGATTTATTATTATGATTTAATTGATTTTTAAATTAGTTAATTTTTAATAGGAGAATTATGCAGATAGAGTTTCTAAATAAGGTTTTCTTACTAGAATAGCTTATCAAATGAACTTAATAATAAGAGAAGTTTTTAAGGAATCTGATATTTATCAGCAAATTTCAACAAAAGCAATTAAAATTGTTAATTATTTTCATTCATTGAATTATTTTACTAGTCTATTAAAAAATGAACAAAAAGCAGTATATGGTAAAACAATTGCTTTAGCTATTCTGGGAGAAACATGATAGAACAGCTATTATTTATATTTCCATAGCATTTTAAAAACACAAGCAACACTTAAGATTTATTATATTATTAATTAAATTAAATTAAATTAATGGTTAAAATTATATATTTAATGTTAACTTTAATAATTTTAGACACTAGCTACAAAATTTACAATTAATCGCCTTAAAGGTCCTTCTATATTTCAAAGTTATCACTTAAGGCAAAGAAATATACCAAATTCTACAAATAAAAAATTTCTTTTACCTGATATAATTGCTATTATTAATAATCAAGATTTTTGGAATCATTTATATGAACTTGAAAATTTACTTTTACTATTATATGCAATATTAAATAAGCTACAAAAAGAAATAGTTTGATTATATGAAGTAGTTTTTACTTTTAAAGAATAATCAAAGTATTCTTAGATTATTAAATGAGAATATTTCTAATTAAATGATTATTTAACTTGAATGCTAATAGAATTTATAAATTAATGGAGCAATCTCTTTTGTTTTATTTATAGTTTTTCATTTACAATATCGTCTTACACTTTTTAATAAACATATATCTAACTTTTCCTATACATATTTTAGCCAATAGATTAATTAATATTTTCAGGTTTAGTTTAGTATAATATCACAAAGTATTTTATGAGAATATCTTTCATATTAACGAGAAATGTATCTTTTTGATATATCAACATTTAATCAACTTAATAGAAATATAATAGATTTGCCAAAAAGGTAGGCATCTAAATTGCCTGAATTATTACATTTTGCTTTTTTTTTATATAGAATTTGTATTAATTCAGCTTTAATAGAAAGACTCTAGTCAGCAATAGATTTTTACATACCAAATGCTAAAATTGGCTTCATATAAGAATAAATTTTATTAATCATATTGTAAATTAATTTTATCATTGATATTTTATAAATTTTTATTTACATTTATTATTACTAATTTTATTAAAAAATGATAAAATGCTTGGAATAAGTTAATTAAGAAGTGATATTTTACATAAAATAAATAAGTAGAAATTGAAAAAGCTAAAAATCTTTATAAATGAAATTACAGTCATACCTCTCTATAGCGAATTTTTATATAACGAATTTTTTGGACAACTATATTAAATTTACCCTCGTTATAACGAACTAGCCAATCA